TTGATGACCTCCCTCCCACCCCACGACACTACAGAGCCCGGGACCTCCCTGTCGTACCTGAGAGGAGGGCCTGGCCCGTGAACTGCCCGTACACGGAGGCAGCATGGGGAAAGGCATTGAAGGGTGGGACCGAGGCACCTGCTGGGCCCCCAGAGCCGACTTGCTGCAGATCCAAAAAGGCGGAGCTAGATAAAGAGGAAGGGGTGGAGCTAGAACTGGAGAGCTCTGGGGTTTCCTGCTTTATGGCGAAGGGTGAATGAGGATCTGCCAGAGGGAGGGAGACAACAAGGAGAGAGGGGTGTGAGATGATGGGGCGGGAACATGCACAAACCAAGCCATGAGATGGGCCGAGGGGATGGGGACAGGCAGGCCGGGCTGCTTGTAGGAGGAGTCTAGGATGGGGAGCCGGGGCTACACTGTGTTCCTCAGATGGAATGAGATGGGGGAACTGGAGGGTCTACCGCCCTGCTGCGCCACCTGCCGGATGACGGGGCAACTGAAGTATGTGTGTACTCAGCCTCTCCCTGCAAGAGGGAGTGAGGAAATCCAGGGGGGGCAGAGACGGAAGGCTCCATCCCTTTGTTCCAGTTTGAGGCCCAGTCAGCATAGCTCACTTCTTTTGAGGTCAGCACCCCAAACACCTTCCTCCTGCCAGCCAGACACTTCTGCCTTCCCCTACCCCAAGCCCATCCTGACCCTCATAGTAGGGTCCAGATGGCTCAGGAGCCTCTGGGCATCCTACCTGCCACCACCGGGTAGGTCTGGTGAGTCGAGAGGTTGCGTCCCAAGGGTGTATTGGAAGGTGTCAGGGTGGCCTTCCCATCATCCAGGGCACTGTTGAGTAAGGGCAGTGGGTACAGCCCCTGAAGAACAAAGAGAAGTCAGCAGGGGAGAGCGAGGCCCCTGAACAAGCCTGTCTTCCTTCTGACCTCACTGCCTGTCTCTGGACTGGGTGGCCCCAGTCTGCCCAGGAGAAGCTCCCTTGCTCATTGTGCCTGCCTTCTTGTTCACTCTTAGCTCAACACGGCATGTTTGATGGGGTCATATCCTCCTGCTCAAAGACCTGAAAACTCTTCAGGACCTGACTTGGAGTTCCCCACTTTCAAGCTTCAGAATAGAATTCAAGGCCTGTGGGTGGCATATGATGGGGGGACCCATCAGAGGATCACTTCCTATCTCTTCATATGGTTAGGACCCGTAAACAGGACATTGTCTAGGGCTGGAGCAGGGAGTGGGTGGGGCTGCTCAGAGACTCTCTGTCTACCAACAAGGATTCCAGCTCCGGCACTCACACTACCAACTGCTGCCCCAGACTGATGGCAATGCTCACTTCTACACTTGCTCACGTTTGGGCTTTGCTGCTATCATTCCTGATGAGCAACCCAGCGAGACGAGCCAGTAAGACTATGTCAGATTTGCATTACACGTGCAAATAGAAACATTTAGTTCCATGAAGGATGCGCAAGCATTCGTTTTGTTTCAAGAATTCTATCAAGCACTTGGGGTCATCTTCAATAAGAGCTTGTTTCGACTCCTCCTGGTGTTCCCTGGTATGAGATGGCTCAGACACTCTTTGAAAAAATATTTGTTAGGCTAAAGACACGAGCATAGCCTACCAGCCCTTTGGCTCCCTGCTGTCCTTCCCAGGGAAAGACAGCTCACACCCACTGCACACACCCTGGTCGTGCAGTTCACAAAAGCAGTATATGAACTGTTGTACGAGACTGGAATCGAGGAGTGTTCCCTGGTTATATAACAGTTCTGCTGATGACAATTGCTTTCTGTAATTTCCACTGAGCTCAGTTCTCCAAGGAGTCACAATGCTTTCTGGTTGCATGCAGGGCACTTTTGGAAGCTGCAGTCAATTCTGGAGGCCACCAGGGCACCATCAGCATGGAGCAGCAATTAGGGACTAAATGGTACTCTGGTTCCATTCTTCCAAGGGGGCTACTTAGAGGCAGGGTGGAGCTGCTCAGAGTCGGATTCTAATGAAACTGCACAAAACACCTAATTTCTAGAGAATGGAAAAAAAGTTGGATATGTCTTGTGAATGTGTGGATTTGACAGTAAAACACTCACTTAAAATAAAACTTCTGTTCCAAATTCAGGTCAAAGAGCAAAGGAAAACTAAGTATCTAGAGATTTGGGTGATGTTGCGTTTAACATCTTAAACATGCCAGTGATGACTGGATTATTTTTTTCTGGGCTTGAACTTGAATTGGGGGCAGGAGAGAATAATGATTCAGAACTGAAATAAATGACTTAGGGTCTTGATTCGGCAACAATCTGCAGGAAATTGTGGGTCTGTTTGAACTCTCTGAGCCTTGGTTGTTTTTCCTCCCTTACCTTTTAAGGATAGGGGTCCTAGAATCTACTGCAGAAGACTGATTAAGTATTAATTGTGATTTTAAATAAAGTGTTGCTTGGCCCAGAATACTCAGCAAGCACAGATGTTCAGCAAGAAATGATGATAGATGTATTTTACTATGATGGGAAAAGTCACTAACTGCCACATTCTTGGCCTGTCTTCATAACAGTCTCTCTCATTCTGTTGATTCACATGGTGGTGGACTTAAAATATAGAGGAAGAGCCACACAAATTTCTAACAGCACCTGGGGATGACACTTCTAAGAGAAATGAGGTCACTTTCACCCTCACCAATTTTTCAGACGAGAAGTGTATGTCTTTGTCCCATGCAAAGACCAGGTATGAGCATCTGCTTTTATCTCATCTCTCAAAGACGTCAAACTTTATGTGCCTGGATGAAAGACCATGTTCCTTTGGGTGGCACAATACTCAGAAGAGCAAGGCTCAACCTAGCTGCTTTCTGCCCCTCACAATCCAGCCTGATGAGTCAATGAAGGACAGAAGGAAGAGCTGAGGAACACTGGGCTGGGCTTCACTTTACTCCTTGAGGTTGAGGGTTTAGAGAGGTTTAATGACTTTCAAATACTCTTGTTTTATTCACTCTTTACATAAGAATGCCCTGGCGCACACCTTTAATCCCAGCACTCGGGAGGCAGAGGCAGGCGGATCTCTGTGAGTTTGAGACTAGCCTGGTCTATAAAGCCAGTTTCAGGACAGTCAAGACTACACAGAGAAACCGTGTCTCAGAAAATAGATAGATAGATAGATAGATAGATAGATAGATAGATAGATAGATAGATAAAATTCATGGAATTGCCATGTCAAAAATTGGTAAGGTAGAACAATTCATAGGAATGAAACTAGGGTTGGCAGCCCTAAACTCTGCAATCGTCTGCTTCCCCAAGTCCTTCCACGCTCCAGGTCCCGAGTAATTCTCATACAAATTGAAAAGGTGGGCTGTGTCTCCTGAAGTTCTAAGTGTCTCTTATCCTAAGATCCTCTATGCACACCCATCAACAGGGCCCAAGGGCTCACTCTAACCAAGTAAGGTCCTTTGAAGGACTTATGGGTGATGCAGGGAAATGGCTCTAGCACCTAGTAGATACCAGGGGTCTCCTCGGTAGGGCTTCATTATTCTCCAAGGGGCGCTAGTATATGCAGATTGCATTTTTGCAGGCTCACCACCATAGAGCAAGCTTCCTGTAGGCTCAACACTTGCCTCCCGGAGCCATGTTCTGATTATCAGCAGTGCACCCAGGCCCTCTGCTTGGATCTGCTGATAGCCGACTGTGTCTACACCCTTCACAGCTGTCATAGCCAAGGCTGATAAAAATCACTGACGCATATTGCCTACCCAGCTGTGGGGGTTGGCGCAGGGCCAGCAACCCAGCCACTCATTGGCAACGTTTCAACTGCTTGTTAGCATCAGCATTGTCTCCCTCAGGTCTTAAAGGTGAACTTATAGGCTTGCCTCAAGCCAAGAGGACAGATAGGTCATACCCCAGAGAGTTTCCTGAGCTATTCGAGTAAATGGCACGAAGGGAGACAGACATTGGAACCATTGACATAGCAAACGCATCTCAGTGGTTGTTAGCATTGTAAGGTTTTTGTTGACCTCAGTGTGGGGATATTCATATCTCTGTCTGTTTTGTAGAGAAACTATCCCATTATAACCATTTCTCCATGCCTAAGATCTGGAGAGGGAAACCCCCTGTAGCTTGTGTCTTAGCGTTCTTGATTTCTCAATTGATCATCCATTGATTTCTCATTGGATCATTCGTTTGATATACCTTTGTGGAGTAGCCATTAAAATTCCAGACTTGGGATGTTATTCAAAAGGAGAGGGCTTGTCTAATGTGTGCGTGTGTGAAGTCCTTTGATCTCCATCACCATAGAAAAAAAAATAATAATGAATAATAAGAATGCTAGACTCTAGAGATAGGAGTAGGGGTGGCTCAAGAGGCTCTCTGTCCTTAAGAAGTCCATTGCCTTTACCCCTACCCATGAGATTATTAGGATGAACTGTGAAGTCAGTAGAAGCCATGCGTGAGACAGGAAGGATGGCAGAGGCCGTGAGTCACAGGTGGGGGGCAGATTCGTGGAAACAGAGATTGAGCTGAGTCATTGCAGCCAGCTGGTATTTTTCCAGGTAGAGCAGTTAGAAGAAAGGCTTCCTGCAAGGAGGGCACATGGTGTACTAGGGCAGAGAGGTGCGAATGAGGTCAGTGTACTTGAACACATGAGTCACCCAGAATCCTAAACTGCGTAAAGGGAGAGACTGGAGGTGGGGCTAGGTGTGGCGTTGAGACCATCATAAAAGGGTGTGAGCCTTAACTCCAACTGTGGGTCTGATTCTATTGTTGGAGAAAGCCGTGGAGGACAAAAGGAGCCCTGCATGCACAAACTAGAGTTCAGTTTCAGGTTGCGAGAAGAGGGCAGGCAGCGTCAAGACAGCTTGCGAATAAGGCATGCGTGCGGCTGGACACTGCATCAAGTCTGTGCCCTGAGCCTCTAGGAACAATTTGGACTTGCTTTGATGGCTGGAGTTCATGCTTTGCTCTTGCCCTTGCCTAACCCGCCTAGGTCCTGCAGCCCACTTTCTCACCTGCTCGCCTTTGGTGTGGCTGGGGGAGGCGTAGGCCTCCGAGTAGTGCTGCCGCTCAAATGGGCAGTCGAGCGGCTCGAGGTGGTGCTGGCTGAAGGCATCCGTCCGAAGGTGCTTTCGGGGACCGCTGCTGCTGCTCTGTGAGTCGATGCTCAGCCGACAGCTGTCCTGGTCACCTAGTGCCCCCCGGGCAGGCAGGAAGAAAGCTTTCAGGGGACCCCTCTGCCAAGCCACCAAAGTGGCCAAAGCAGAGGAGCAGACAGGCTGAGGAGGTAGGGAAAGGGTCAGCAAGAGGAAGGACCCATGCGCCTGTGAATAGGGAGTGTCAGAACCCTACCCAGTCCTAGGCCAAAGGAAAGCCTTCTCTTCATATTAAAGCTGGAGCAGAGTGGTATCCTGTGTCTCGTACCACCCACAGGTCCCCCAAGAACTCACTATCATCCATCTTTCTCTTGTTGTCACTGCCAGGCTGAGCGATACCCAGGAGCCCACTGATAGAATAGGTAGAGCCCAAGGAATCCGACTGGGGTGACTCTGGGGGTGTTACGGCTGAGCTGGGGACTGCAAAGGAAGAAGGAGAAGGGTCAGAATGGGAGATGATGCTCCCCACAGCCCCTGTGGGCACCATGGATTCAAAGCCGGAGGCCATGCTGTGGCCAGAGGCCCTGGAGAGCTAGAGTCCTTCACTTCCAAGGGCCTGCTAGTGCGAGGGGCTCCTAGAATGCTATTTGTCTGCTGTGTCCATTTCCCATGTTCCCGTGAGTCTCCCATGAGCGTGGAAATAGACTTTATCTCAGGGTAATAACTCAGTCCGTGTACAAACATATGAACACTCGTATGTTCTTGTGTATCTGTATGTGTCTGTGTCTACATGGGTGTGAGGACTGGGTCTACATTCACGGGTGTGGGAACAGCCAAACCCCTAAGCACTCACTCAGTGTGTGTCCTGGGCTCAGAGACTTGCTGGCCACGCAGCTGTCCATGGGGAGGTTGAAGGGTTGCTGCACTTTGGTTCGGATGATTCTGTGAGGGAGCAGAAGGATTGTTAGAGAAAGAGGATGAAACAGGAGCTGTGGCTCTCCAGGATCCTGCCACCATGACAACCCAATTAGATGTCTTCTATGTGTCTCCAACTCGATGAGTGGACCATCCAACTATGACCGCACCTCATTCTTCATACCTCCTTCTCCGTGTCATGTGTCATGACCAGAAACATGGAGCTCTCAAGGCAGAAATACAGGGGTACCTTAGCAGGGTTTGTAGATTTGACCTGGATAGCCTCCCCGGAATTGACGCTGTTCTATATCTCATTGTTAACACCTGAGGGTGTGCCATCATCTGCTCTGTCCCTCCAGAGTCCCGAAGTGACCACATAGTCTATCTAGTTGTTTCTCTCCTTTTTGGTCGAGGGAGCGCTTTCAAATACAAATAAGCTTCCTGCTTAAAACACACTAAAAGCTGCCCACCGCGGATGCTTTAAAGGCGGGAATCTGTTAAGGTGACCACAGACTTCTTGGGGACAGCTTTATCTGTCACCTTATACTCAGAATACTTCAGGTTCTTCTTTACTCTTGACTGACTTCCTCTCATCTCCTGCGCAAGCTCTCCTTAGCCGCAGGCTTTCATATATAGTGGTGGGGTTTGCCTGGCATCGCTTTCCACCTAGTTAAATCCCACTCCCGGCTTCTTACTTAGGGGAAGACCTTCACGATTTCACGAAAACAAGTTACCATAGGCTATCCCACATAGCCCCTGCAGGACAAGTAGTTGCATTTTTTGTATTGTTGTTTTGGGTACTCTGTGTCTGTGTTCCCATTAGATTATAAGCTTCACAAGGACAGGGATTTTGTGTTCTGGGAACTAATATGGAATAAATGAATGAATTATGTGTGAATGAATGGGTGAGTACATGAAGGACGGAGGCAGGGAGCAAATGATTGAAAAAGTAACCAAGTGACCAAGTACTCCAATGAGGGCCAGGAAGGGATCTACTCAAGAAGCACACAGTAAAAGAATAGGGTATTAAGGAAGGAAGATACAGCACAAAATGGTGTGGGGACAGAGGGAGGCTCCACAGCATGAGCAAGAGAGGGCTGAGAGAGGTGACATGTGCCAGGCCCGGGAGCTCCTCCCTGATTCCTCAAAGTGAAGCCTCTTCCAAAACCCCTGCTCTACCCAGGCCATTCACGTCTCTTATAGGAATCTTCCAGAACCTTGGGGTCTAGGAGGGCGCCGGAAGCTGCCCTCTCTCACCTGTTGATGGAGCTGACACTGGGCACAGTGTCATTGTCACAAACGCCTTCTGCCAGGAGCCGGTCCCGGATCTCCCAGGCAAACATGGTAGGGTTCTGCCGCTTGTAGTCCCCGATCTTCTCCACCACCTTGGGGGTGGCCACCTTGGGCTTGGAGCCCCCTATCACTCCAGGCCGGATGCTGCCAGTCTCGTAGTACCTACTCCAATAGAGAACCCCCCGAAAATTACCCGATAAGCAGGTGGGGCCTTTAAACAGGAACCTGGCCAGCGCTTCTGACCCCTCTGGGAGTGAGTGAGACAGGTCCCTCCCCAACTGATCAACCAAACACTGGATTTCTCTCCCACAATCTACTTCACTTCTGTGTGTAGATTTATGCTGCTGCCAAAGCAAGACCCCTCTGCAAAGACTTCATCCTGGTTTCTCTGTCTTCTTCCTCTGGCCAGCATCAGGAGGCAGGCAAAGATCTCCCTTGTAAGAAAGGACACTGGGTCCAGGCAGTGGTGGTGCACACCTTTAATCCCAGCACTTGGGAGGCAGAGGCAGGCAGATCTCTGTGAGTTCAAGGGCAACCTGGTCTACAGAGTGAGTTCTTTTTTTTTTTTTTCTAGGTTTTTTGAGACAGGGTTTCACTGTAGCTTTGGAGTCTGTCTTGGAAGTACCTCTGTTGAACAGGCTGGCCTCGAACTCACAGAGATCCGCCTGTCTCTGCCTCCCGAGTGCTGGGATTAAAGGTGTGCGCCACCACCACCTGGCCCAGAGTGAGTTCTAGGACAGTCAGGACTGTTTCACAGAGAAACCCTGTCTCAAAACAAGGAAGAGAGAAAGAAGGAAAGAAAGAAAGAAAGAAAGAAAGAAAGAGGGAGAGAGAGAAAGATGGAGAGAGAGAGAGGAGGGGGGAGGGGAGGAGAGAAGAGAAGAGAAGAGAAGAGAAGAGAAGAGAAGAGAAGAGAAGAGGGGACACTACAAGTCACAAGCCTGCAGAGTTTCTTTTCTCCCTTCCACCTTCTCTTAGCATAATTAATTCTCCTCCTTTGCTCTCCTAGCCTCACCCAGGGAAGTCAACTGGAGTCCCTGACCCCTCTACTTTCTTGCTGGATCACCTTTGTCTTGTCCATGTCTGAGACGTCCCCTTACCCTTTGCCACCTGATTTTCTACCAGGTTCCATGGTTCATGTTGAAGCTGCTTCTCCCAGACTCTAAAGTCCGGCCTCGCTTGGAATCTCTGGCCTGATTCAGCCCCCGAAGATGAGCCTCCTCCTCCTCCAGAACCTATCCACCTCCCAACTAGCTGGCTGATAGATTTGTGGCTTGATCTGGATGCCCTCTGGCCTCCTGTGGTCTTTGGTCTCTTCTGCCAATGAATAAAATGGTCTTTATAAACGCCATTGTCATCGCCACTCAGAGCTCGTCTCCTCTCTGGGACTCTGCAATCATCTGACGAGTACTCTCTCCTCGGCCCTAAGAAAAGGCCTCTCTCTTCCCCTTAATAATTTTAGGCATAGGTTATCCTTGGTGTTTTTGACTTTAGCCATTCTGACAGGTGTAAGATGATATCTCAAAGTTGTTTTGATTTGCATTTCCCTGATTGCTAAGGAAGTTGAGCACGACTTTAAGTGTCTTTTGGCCATTTGAACTTCCTCTGCTGAGAATTCTCTGTTCAGTTCAGTGCCCCATTTTTTAATTGGGTTAATTAGCATTTTAAAGTCTAGTTTCTTGAGTTCTCTATATATTTTGGAGATCAGACCTTTGTCTGTTGTGGGGTTGCCATAAATTAGCGCCACGGAGTCTACAATAGGTGAACCTAAAGAAGCTAAGTAAGAAGGTGAACCCAAGGAAAAACATATAGTTATCCTCTTGGCTAAGAACCTTCATCTGGTGATGGATGGAGACAGAGACAGAGACCCACACTGGAGCACTGGACTGAGCTCCCAAGGTCCCAATGAGGAGCAGAAGGAGGGAGAACATGAGCAAAGAAGTCGGGACCACGAGGCGTGCACCCACCCACTGAGACAGTGGAGCTGATCTACTGGGAGCTCACCAAGGCCAGCTGGACTGTGACCGAAAAAGCATGGGATAAAACCGGACTCTCTGAACATGGCGAACAATGAGGGCTGATGAGACGCCAAGGACAATGGCACGGGGTTTTGATCCTACTTAATGTGCTGGCTTTGTGGAAGCCTAGCCAGTTTGGATGTTCACCTTCCTAGATATGGACGGAGGGGGGAGGACCTAGGACTTACCACAGGGCAGGGAACCTGGACTGCTCTGTGGACTGGAGAGGGAGGGGGAGAGGAGTGGGGGGAGGGGTAGAAGGGTGGGAGGAGGGGGAGAAGGGTGGGAGGAGGGGGAGGGAAATGGGAGGCTGGGAGGAGGTGGAAACTTGTTTTTTGTTTATGTTTTTTTTCTTCTTTTCTTAATAAAAAAAATTATTTAAAAAAAAAAAAAAGAAAGATTTGTTTAGAAATAAATGTCTTTAAACCACAAAAAAAAAAAAAAAATAATAATTTTAGGCATAGAGCCAGGGCTCTCTATGGTCCATTAGCCCAGCCCCTTTACTTCCTTGAAGCAGAGCTTGCCTTAAATCTACATAGGGTCAGTGTGTGACAGGTTAGGAAGTAAGGTGGACAGGACATGGGACTTTGGAATTTTCAAATTCTCTACTTAAGGATATTTCTGATGCAAGGGTCACAGGCTTTGATAGTCCTTGTCCTTCTGAATCTGTGCCCTGTGGTTCTCAGCCCTAACTGAAAGAATTAGAATCATGTGAGTGAGGTATTATGGACATACATAAATGAGTTCGTTCCCTCCTATTGTCTGTGCTGGAGTTCAGACCATGACCTTCTTATTTATTGTGAGGCTTTAGAGTTCCTTGGCACAGTCAGGGCTGTGAGCCACCACGCGGAGCCTTACAGATCAATGCTTCTCATTCCTCCCTATTTCTGAGCTTTGTGCTTCCTGGACATTTTACAAAAGCCACAGGCCTAGCCGAGAGGCTGACTCCAGCAGGACTGGGCTGTGAATTTTATCAAGCGCTCTCATGGCTTCTCTGACAGACTCTCTGAAAGATCGCGTGGTACGTGGGCCCGCAGTGCTGAGGATGGCCAGAGGAGGCAAGGCTTGCGGGGAAAGGCGGTGTGTGGTCAATCTCGTGCTTACCTGCCAAGGATCTTGCTGACGCAGCCATGGCTGACACGGAGCTGGCGCGAGATATCACAGGGCCTCACACCCTGATGGGCCAGGTCCACAATGCGTTGACGGACAACTTCCGGCAGAGGCCTGCCATTCACAAAGGCCCCTCCTAACTGATTCAGCCCTCCGTTGCCTGAAAAGACAGGATTGTCAGGGACAATTGTCAGAACCAGGTACTAAATGTTGGGTAGAAATAGCCGTGAGTATGAGTACTGCGTGTGACCATGTCTGGGCACTCCACGGTCAGTTCCACCAGCTCTCCCTCTACGTGCGCCCCACCTTGCTGAGAAACATGCCTCCTGGAAAGGCTGGCACAAGTGGTATAAGCAGCTCACCCCATCTGACATGTAAGGATACAAAAGGAGCACATCTCTTGTCTGGTGACCCTTTAGATCCACTCCATGTCCCCCAGAGCCCAGCCTTTACGTCAAGTACTGTCAGTGTTCTCTTTCCCCCATTTTTCTTCATCCGCAGACACAAAAGGAATGAAGGAGTCAGGCTGTTCTTAAGTTGATACACTCAGCTCATTGAGTGACACTGGAGAAAATATCTCTCCTCCCCCTGAAGATCCTTTTTTCATTAAAATAAAGGCGCAGGATGAAACGAGCTGTCTTTCCCTTTGTCTTACGCCTCTTAAACTGCAGAACCTTTCCCCCACCCCCTTAGTTTTTAAGACATAGTTTCTCTGTGTAGCCCTAGCAGTCCTGGAACTCACTCCACAGACAAGGCTGGCCTCCAACTCCCAGAGATCCTGCTACCTCTGCCACCCAAGTGCTGGGATTAAAGGTGTGAGCCCCCTCGCCCAGCTATAGAGCCATATTTTGTAACAAGAACACAAAAGAAGTGCAGGAGAGAGTATCTGGCTAAGGCAGGTCAGAAGGATCTAGGCCCTGTCTGGCTGTCTCGCCTGAGCAACCCCAAGTTTTCTTCTCTCTTTGACAGGTCAGAGACCTAAAAACAGCAAACGGAGACCTCACTAGGAGACATGGCAAGCCAAGCCTTAGCTGCATCCCTGATTGACCTCTCCCCTCTAGACTGAGTCTATACTTCATTCTGATCATACACAGCTAGACAGAGCCATATCTACTGAATGCCTAGTGCATGACAGGTGCTTTAGCAGGTCTTGAAGCCCCAAGGTGAATACAGCCATCTGCATAGTTGCACCCACCTGACGGGGCTTATTACAGTAGGAGCCTAGACCAGCTAATCAGATCCCTCATGACCTTTCCCGGAATCTCCTGCTCAGAGAGGTAATTACTGAATGGGTAGACTCGGTCAGAGATGCACTGAGGAGCTCTTAGAGAAGTTCAAGCTCAGACTCATGACAAAGAAGTGTTAGATGAGAGGAAGGAGATCCTGTCTGAGCCACGGGAATAGTACAAGCAAAGGTGCTGAGGTTGAAAGGGTAGGAGTCTGTGAGATTTGTGATACTTTCAACTCTACGATCCACAGTGGGTTAGTTTCAGAGCTGCGAAGTCCAGTTTCCAGAAGACCGCAAAGAGCATTTCAGTGGCTTGACTTGAATGACTGAGCTTATGTGAAGAGCAGCCAGGATCCAAACAAAGCTTAGGGCTCCAACCCTTGCTACTGCTGTATGGGTCCTTGATTGACAGCTGGAGCTGACCCTGTCTCTGCAACCTTAGGATGACAGTGACATTGCCTAGGCATGACTAGCGTCTCTTCACACCAAGGACTGGATCTTGCGATCTAGCTTAGCATGGGAAAGTCTAAGAACTCTAGAGGTTGGTAGAGCAGAATGGATTGAGCCCAAATGCTCAGGACCCCCTGAAGCTGACTGCAAAGAAGCCAGTATTGTACGGAGAGTCATAGCGAGTCGGCTGGTAAGAAGGGAAAGTTGATGCCAGGCCAGTGTGACCAGTTAACCATATGCATGGACAAGGGTAGGAAGTGTCTTTGCTGGGCACACTGTGCCCATTATCACCCACTGACTTAGCACATTCGAAACCGCCTCCCAATTTCTCCTCAGGGACTCATAATGTCTTCAACAGAACAGATAATTTCCCTTAAAACAAACAAACAAACAAGGTCAAAAGCCTCTGTCCAGGGCATTAAATCAAGAGGAAAAACGCACTGGCTGCACACCAAGCATGAGGGACATGGCAGTCCATCTTCCAGGTACAGCTTCTGCCTGTCCTGTTCTAGGCCACCTGTCCCAGTGAATACTTTTACATGAATTGGACGATGTCTTAGGGACTTTCAGTCCAGCCCAGGCGATGGACAATGTGGCTCTTGTCTGTTCTGTTCTTGTTCCCCTGACCCCTCTCACTGGCTATGCTGCCCCTAGTGGAGAAATGGGCCCTCACTTCCTCATCATTGCCTTTTGACTCCTTGGGGTCTAGACACCGAACACCAGGGCACATCAGACAGCTATCCAAGTGTACAAGACTGTAGGCAGGACTACTTTGTCCCTATGTTCCAGAATTTTTACTGCATGAGGCATAGATCTTTGCACTAGAATCTCTCTCTCTCTCTCTCTCTCTCTCTCTCTCTCTCTCTCTCTCTCTCTCTGGAAGTCAGATCTCATATAGAGAGGGGTGTCACAAGTTGAGCATTTTGCCTGAAAACAAAACAAAAAGCACAATCTACTCATGTGGTTCTCCAATAGACATAGCACAAACTATGTCCTAAATTATCCTAAGGGCTGACGCAGAATCCTGGAAACCCACATCCTCAGAACCAGACTGAAGCTCATTGCACAGCAACCAGCCACATCTCGGGCCCCCTGAACTGTGACTTCTCTGGGGAGTTATTTTATTGAGGAAGGGTTTGAGTCAGATTTCTGCCTTGACTCTGTATGTTTTAGTTGTATCATTTGAGTAGATTTGGTTGTTTGTAACTTTGGCATGAAATGAAGCTTAGCAGGATTTCTCACTGTGTCTGCTGGTCACTGCAATGGGAACGTGGGGTGACGGCAGAGAAGCATTTCCTTAGCTGAAAGCCTTGATAGAAATATAAAGGTTTTCATTATGACATCAACATGGTTGGATGCTACCACCCTGGCTTGGCCCTAACGCTTGAGTAGTAGTTCTCCAACTGAAACACACACCAGAGTCTCAAGAGCGTTT